CGTAATCATAAGTTGCGATTCGTCCCCTGAGTTACTCAGCAATGCAATGTCATCGGCGAAGCGCAGGTTACTAAGGTATTCTCCATTAACTCTTATCCCTGACTGTTCCCATTCTAGGCTTCTGAAAACCTCCTGTAAGCAAGCGGTGAATAGCATTGGGGAGATTGTGTCCTCCTGCCTTACACCCTTCTTGATTGGTATTCTGTTGCTTTCTTTATGAAGCACTATGGTAGCAGTTGATCCCCTGTAGATTTCTTCCAGAATGTTTATATATACTTCATCTACGCCCTGATTCCGCAGTGTCTGCATGACGGCTGATATTTCTACTGAATTAAACGCCTTCTCGTAATCTATGAAGGCTTTGTATAGTGGTTGGTTATACTCTGAGCATTTCTCTATTACCTGATTGATAGTATGAATGTGGTCAATTGCTGAGTAGCCTGTACGAAATCCTGCTTGTTCCTTTGGTTGATTGAATTCCAATGTTTTCTTTACTCTGTTAGCAATTACCTTTGTAAATAGCTTGTACACTACAGAGAGCAAGATGATCGGCCTGTAATTCAAGTCCTTGTCATCTCCTTTCTTATGTATTAAGATGATGTTAGCGTTCTTCCAAGACTCTGGTACCCTTCCCGTCAGGAGACACCTCGTAAACAGGGTGGCTAGTTTTTCTAACACAATCTTTCCTCCATCTTTCAGCAGATCTCATGTTACCTGATCCTCACCAGCAGGTTTGCCTTTTTGCATGCTCTCCAAAGCTTTTCTGACTTCTTCGATCATTACTGGTGGGGTGTCATCTGGGTTACTGCTAGTTCTTATCGTATTAAGGTCGTGGTTGTATCGGCTACTCTACAGATTTCTGTAAAACTCCTCCGCTATTCTGACTATCTTATCCATATTGGTAGTTATTTTGCCTTCTTTGTCCCTTAGTGCATACATCCGACTTTTGCCTATCCCAAGTTTCCTCTTCACTGCTTTGAAGCTTCCTCCGTTTTTCAGAGCGTGTTCAATTCTCTCCATGTTATACCTTCTTACATCGCATACTTTACGCCTATTAATCAACTTCAAAAGCTCTGCCAGTTCTATTTTGTCTGTTTTACTTGAAACTTTCATGCTTTGGCGCTTCTTAATTAGGTTCTTCGTTTCCTGGGAAAGCTTGCCAGTGTCCTGTCTACCTACCCAGCCTCCAACCTCCACTGCACACTCCGTAATGATACTCGTTAGATTTTCATTCGTTGTATCTACGCTAAAGTTGGTTTCCTCACTAAGAGCCGAGTACCTGTTCTGCAGCGACACTCTGAATTCCTGTACTTTCCCTCTCAGTGATAGCTCATTAATTGGCTTCTTGCGTATCAGTTTCTGACGTTCCTTCTTCAAGTCTCGGTGAATTCGAGACCGTACCATTCTATGGTCACTGCATCGTGCCTTGCCAACCATTTCCACATCCTGCACGATTCCTGAATGTGCAGTCATTATAAAGTCTATTTCGTTCTTATTTTCGCCATTAGGGCTCCTCCATGTCCACTTGCGGTTTTCTCGTTTTTGGTAGAAAGTATTCAAAATCAGCAAATTATTGCGTTCTGCGAATTCTACTAGTAGCTCTCCTCTGGCGTTTCTAGTGCCGATGCCATAATCTCCTACTGCCTGGTCTCCAGCCTGCTTCTTCCCTACCTTTCCATTAAAGTCGCCCATCACTATAGTGTACTGTGTTTTTACCTTACTCATTGCAGATTCCACGTCTTCATAGAAGCTTTGAACTGAATTGTCATCATGACTGGATGTAGGCGCGTAAGCCTGTACTACCTTCATCTTGTATCTTTTATTCAGTTTAATTACAATACCTACCACCCTTTCATTAATGCTATTGTATTCCTCTATGTTGCCAGCTATGTTTCTGTGAATTAGAAACCCCACTCTAGTTCTCTCCTGTCTGCCAAGCCCTGATCGCAAAGGACGTGCCCATTCTGTAGCACAGTATAGGCCTCATCTGTCCTCCGAACCTCACTGAGCCCTACTATATCCCATTTAACGCCCTGTAGCTCCTCGAATAGTACAGCTAGACTTCCCTCACTAGATAAGGTTCTAGCGTTAAACGTTGCCAAGTTCAGGTTCCAAAGGCGGCCTGTAGTCCAGAGATTCTTAGCACCCTCTGCTGCGTTGCAGATCTGACCGCCGCCATGGTGAGTTGCTTCGCAGCTGCTGGGAACTGAGGGCCGTGAGTTATTTGACGTATGCATGTGGGAGGTAGTGGCCAGATACTGCACCAGGGTGGCCAATCCTTCTCTGGTGAGGGAGTGCGTTCCCGGCGGTCGTTACCGAAGAGGCCGCACCCCAGGCCTCTTAATGCAGTTCCATCAACACTTGTCCTTAATGCAGTTCCAAAATACTTGTCCTCAATGCCACCACGTCGTGGTTTGCCAGCAAGGAAGATCGCTAGAAGGGAGAACGCTGCTTTGCAAGAAGCTATAAACAAATCACTTGAGTCTACAGAACTTGACTAGAAAGGAAACAAGGTGTCTTCGTATACGGACTTCAAGACGAAGTTGTCAGGAATCTGCAATAATAACTTGTAGGCAGTAACTATCCGTGACAAGTGCGTAAGGTTTCTTGTCATCGAAAATGATCCTCCTTACGTTAAATGCTTATGGTCTTTTCTGCCAGATCTCTCACTTTCTGTTCTTTTTAACGGAGTGCTACTTCGATCGCTTCCTATGGGTAGCGCTGTGACATGGTTCTCGTAACAGATGTAGCTGTGCAGAAACTGTCATTGGCAAAAATCGTCAACGACTTTCTCTCATACAGTGAGCAACGCAATATCGCCGCTTCACTGGCATTTTCTTGGCGGGAACCAGAGACCGACATTATTGCATGTGATAATGGCCACACTGCACAAACTGTCTTGCGCTTGGTATTTCGCTCAGCAACCAATATTGTCTTAAACAACATATGCAGCTTGAAAAATGACAGCATCTAAGATGATGGGCAGAAAAAGGTCGCAGCACGGTAATCATCAACAAAGAGAAAGTAATGTTTTCACAGAATAAAGCATACAACTTGCGTCGTATGGTTCCTTCTAACGAAAGTGAAACTACATGCAGAATGCTTCAATTGTGCCCGAGAAACTTTCTCAAATAAAAGAAATAGTATTTTGCATCCACCCCAGACTATTACAACACCAATAAAGGTGAGCGCAACGCTCCGAAATACCAAAACACCGCGCCCGCATGGGCCCACAGGGTGACGTCACGTAACCATCGGAAATGCCTTAGGAACCTAGGGGGTGTTGGCCGAACTGCGACTCACTAGGGAGATAGTGACGTCGATGCACGCGCACTGCGAGGGAATGCATGTCCTATTTGGCACCGCCCCAACACCTGCGGCCAGGGGATCGTAATGCGGACGGAGAGACATCGCTACAAAGGTTAGTCAAAGAGCTGCATCGCATATAAAACACTTTTCAAAAAGATAGAACACTGTGAAGTTGCGGTGAAAAAACAACGCATCCAACCACCAGCTTTCCTCCACAAGAGCAAGGTGATATTACGTGATCGCACCCTGCACCTCTTAGCGATTGCAGCGCCAGCACCTTTAGTGATGAGCTTGGCGCCCAGTACTTATGTTATAACAATGTACTTGTGCGCCAGTTGCGTGGCACCTTTCTTTGGGCTTGAACAACGCGCTTCGAGTGTCAAGCTGTGGCAATGGCCACACTCATCCTGTGTGTGCTCATTTCGTGCGTCCTTTCTGCTAGGAGTGAGCACTTTAAATATCTAGCTGCTTATCAATTGAAATAAATTTGTTCCTGTATCAATAATTGCTTCTTCCCTGAGGTGAGACTGTCGATAATGAACGCTCTACTTTTTTTTGAAGATGCTCTCCACTCTCGTGGCAGTTTTTTGACAATTTTACACCAATTTTTAGACAAAGTAATGATTGTTTTTCGGCAGATGCTCAAGACGACCACAGTTCCAATGACACTGCCGTGCTTTCCAACACTTCTACATACTGCTCCTTAATAGGGGAATTAAATGCATACATGTTCTCTTTCCTTTTGACGCCGAGATCTAGCTATTGCACAGGACGCGAAACAATATCTTCATCTGTAAGATGTGTCGTTTACTGAAAGTGCACCGCAACAGCACAAATAAGTGAACACTGCCTCAGAAGAGTAATGAATTTGGCTGCCCCTTCAAAAACACGCCACCACTGTGATTCTCCTCGGCTACCTTAATCCGAATTTGACACTCCTGCAAATAGTTAGTGTATGTAGAGATTCTGATGCTTGAAGTTTACCATGGGAGTTATTTTTCCGTGACGAGAATGAGCGCTGGCTCACTGGTCACCCATTTGAATTCATCAACGCATATTTTCTAGTGCGACCTATATGCAGCCTTTCTTAAAACCAGAAACAAAAACAGTGAAACTGCCCTTTGGCGGAAAAATATATTCGTAATTTATCCAGCTCTTATTGAATAATATCTGCGTTTAAAGTCACTAAACCATCATATGATTACGAGAGACGCCGTAATAGAGGGCCTCGGAAATTTCTACCAGCTGAGGCTTTTTAACTTGGACCAAAATCACCAATCAGGCTTGGTGCCACATTTGGTGCCAATTTACGTTATCGAATTTCTGGAGGTTTATCTCCTTTCGCACAATTCCTCTCAAATTGTGAAAAAAACGGAGAGTTCACCTGCCTCATTCCTTGAATTTTATTGCAACAGTGAGCGAGCGTTCAAAGTCATGTCGAGATATCTGTGCTTGTTTAACAGCTAATGTTTTGCAGAATACTTGTCTCATTCAGTGAGAAAGCTGACGTAAGTATAAAAATGTAGTTTATATAGACATGTTGGCAATGGTACCTTTAATTGTTTCGCCTTGCGGTTGAATGAGGAACTGTTGTTCATTTTACAACTTGGTTTTGTATGTCGTCAGCAAGTTATTCCCTATGGCGTATTAACTTTCATTTTATTTGTACATGCACAACAAACGATACTTACGGCACACCCTGACGATTTCATGAGAACCTTTACTGAGGCAGCCTAAATAGTTATTTTTCGCTATGCACTTTTGTTCCTCCGCCTCGGGGCACCTTGGATGATCTGTTGAAGAAGAATTCACGATGCATATGTACATTCAAACCCATTTTACTGATTCAGCCAGAAATAGAAACGTTTCATATTTCGATTGCAAACGCTCATTAGAGTATTTACTTGAGGTGCATGGAACACTGCGGTGCATGAAAACTACCAATACTTGAGAACACTTGAGCTTCTCCTTCAAGAAAACATCACGATAGCGTAATCGGGCTCCGTGCGCGTAGCCTTCTGAACTGCTAACACCTAGCTGCCTTCGTTCTCGGTGCATGCCTCAGCCGTGCAGGAAGGACCCTAATAATTGTGCATGTGGCATTGGTCGTTTCAAAGTATCATTGAATGCTTACTACAAGCACACTTGCTAAGCACCAACTACCCCATATTTGTTATTGTGATAGGAAATATATGGACACCCTTGCTTAGATTGTGCCGCCGGAGTCGACGTTTGTGAGCGTCGTCAATCACTGTATATATATATATATATATATATATATATATATATATATATATATATATATATATATATATATATATATATATATATATATATATATATTGTAGGCATCTCTTATGCGCTTCATCGTCATCTGAACAGCAGTCAATAAGCATCACCTGTTCTGGCGGACAATCATCATCGTCTTTGAACGTGCGCTTTATCTTCAGGTCCGTTGCGCTTGTTCGTTCCCGAGTTCACGGCCAATAAACTTCGTTACAACCGAGTCGTCATACGTGGTGGAGGTGGATTGACGATCCCAGTACCTCTCCTCGCAACGCCTACTCGCTGGAGCTCCGTTCAGGCCGTCGCTTGGACCCTGAGTCCGCCAACATGTCTCACAGTGAGTGGGTGGATGCCCTTCTGCTCCCGTCCCTGCACCGCAAGCCCCTCCTCTTTACATCGTAAACCACCAGCGTGACCCTCCGATCTTCGCTGGTCTCCGCGGCGAAGATGTGGAGGACTGGCTCGATAACTACGAGCGAGTAAGCGCAACTAATCACTGGGACGACTCTAACAAGCTCCGCCGAGTATCGCTTTATCTCATGGGCGTTGCCAAGACATGGTTCTTTAACCATGTGATCGACCTCACCGACTGGCCTGCCTTCAAGCAGAAACTTCACCAAGTATCCGGCACGCCAACCGTTCGATCCGCTCTAGCGAGGAGGACCCTATATACTCGCCAACAACATCCCGGCGAGTCATACACATCTTACATCGAGGATGTCCTTGCGCTTTGCCGGCGCGTCAATTCTTCGATGTCCGAGTCGGACAAACTGCGTCACATCCTGTAGGGCATCGGAAGCACTGCCTACAATGCCCTTGTTGCCCAGAATCCTTCTACTGTCGCTTACGTCGTCTCTACGTGTCAGCGTCTCGATGAACTTGATTCTGTTCGCCTTCAGTCGGGCAATAGTGAACACCGTACAGCAGACCAGGACCTGCGTGACATGATACGGGAGATCATACGCGAAGAACTCTAATCAATGCGCATCTCACCACCTTCTCCATCTGTCACACAGCCTTCAAGCATGGCCTTGCGTGACATCGTAAGGGAGGGACTAACATCAATCACCGGTCCAGCCTACGTACAGCCACCTCCGTCTAACCCTCCAACGTAGGTGCAAGTTGCGGCTGCGCCTCCTCGCAACGTAAACTCTACTTCGCCGCTGGCATCGTACACGTCGGTTGCTGCTGCATCACCGGACCACTTCCGGCCAATGCCACCCGACTCTCCGTCTGTCCACTTGAGTGCGCTATCTCCCGGTACGCCAAACGCCCTCTTTTACCCACGTTGGCGCCCGTCTCGCCCAACATGTTTTTACTGTGAATATAGCGGCCATATATCGGGCTTCTGCCGCAAACGCCAACAGGACGAGCGTAGCGGGTACGACATGCGCAAAGAGGACTTTTCCAGTGGAGAATCTTACGCCCGGCGTTAATCATCTCGACAGCAATGGTCTCCATCTCCGCCCACGTCGACTGAGACGTAGAACACTTACCGTTCAAGCCGACGCCGATCACCTTCGCCCTTTCTTCACTCCTCCTCTCCTCTTCAGCCAGCCCCGTTTACGACAGAAAACTGGTCGGAAAAATAAATGATGCAGTTTTCGGAGGAGAAACTGCATTTAACAGTAGGATTGATATTCCTCCAACACGCGCATTACACATGGTTTCTGTTATGGTGGAAGGAGTTCTCGTGGACGCTTTGGTGGACACCAGCGCTACTGTTTCTGTGATTAGGTATAATTTGTGCAAACGCCTAAAAAAGTAATGATACCTTATAATGCACCCAATCTTGGGTGCATTATAAGGTTGCTGAAGTTTGTCGCTGACTACGTGAAAGGGACGGCCGTAGAGGTATGGGCGAAATTTCAGAACTGCCCATACTACAGCGAGACATTCCTTTTCCGTTGTGGAATAATGGGACTCGGCACGGGAATGCGTCCTACTTGCATATGCAATCACTCTCTCGGCTGAGTCTTCCCACTGGACGAGTACAGCGCCTAAACCTACGTTGCTGGCATCAGTGTCGATCATGGTTGAAGCGTCCTTGACAAAGTGAGCAATCACAGGTGGTGTCTGCAGGTGCAGTCGTAGACCGTCAAATGCTGCTGGCTCCTCTTCGCCCCATAAAATTGGAACATCAGCTCTCGTTATGCGTGTTAAGGGCGACGCTATGTGCGAAAAATTGGCGATAAACCTGTGGTAGTAGGCGCAAAGGCAAAGAAAACGTCTTACGGCCTTCTTTTCTGTTGGCACTGGAAATTTTCGGACGGCGTCGATCTTGTCGGGGTCCGGACGAACACCTTTATGGCTCGCCACTTGTCCTACGAATCGGAGTTCCTTTAAGCCGAAATGACATTTCTCAGGTTGCAGCGATAAACCAGCAAACCGTATTGCTCGAAATACTAATAGCAGCCGTCTTAGATGTTCCTCCAATGTTGGTGAGAAAACAATGACGTCGTCGAGGTATACCAGACACGTCTGCCACTTAAGGCCTGATAGGACGGTTTCCCTCCGTCTCTGAAATGTTGCTGGGGCTGGACACAATCTGAAGGGCAAGACTTTAAACTTGTAAAGCCCATCAGGCGTAACAAAAGCAGTCTTTTCTCTGTCCCGCTCATCGACCTCGATTTGCCAATAACGGCTTTTCAGGTCCATTGACGAGAAGAAGCGTGCATGCCTCAGCCTGTCGAGTGAATCGTCAATATGCGGTAGTGGGTATACGCCTTTCTTTGTCACGCGGTTCAGCATGCGGTAGTCCACACAGAAGCGTAATCTGCCGTCTTTCTTCTTAACTAGCACTACCGGTGATGCCCAAGGGCTTTTTGACGGCTGAATGATGTCATCATTGAGCATTTTCTGGACTTGTTCTTGAATTGCTTCGCGTTCTTTCTGTGCCACGCGGTATGGGTTTTGTAGAACTGGTCTTGACGTCTCTTCCGTTATAATTCGGTGCTTCGTCAGTGGCGTTTTATTTACCCTCGAGGTCGACGAAACACAATCTTCAAACTGGCCGAGAATATCTAGTCTGCCTCTGCGCTGGCGATAAATCTGTGCTCACGTCGACAGGCAGTCATGTTGAAGCAGCCGGCGTCTCTGCCTGTTGTACTGCGAAGCACACGCTGAATCCTACAATTTCTTCGAAGTATGCAACTGTGGTACCCTCTGTAATGTGTCGACGCTCGTTGCTGAAGTTTGTCAACAGGACCTCTGCTTGCCCAGACACTACACTAACGAGACTTCTGGCAATAGCGATTCCTCGAGAGAGTAAAAGCGTCGATATTTGTTCCGCGACACCTTCTCCAGTATGCTGCGTGTTACACGTGACAGAGACGAGGCGGCACGACAACGGTGGCATGGTCACGTCGTCAATCACGCGCATGGGCTTGTGCTGCAGCGCTGCGCTATGGTCCGCTGAGAAGGTCAGTACACTATCCGGTATATTTATGATGTCACCGTACTCCCGCAAGAAATTCATACCCAAAATGGCCTGTTTACAACACTCAGAAATAATAACGAAGGTTGCCACGAATGATGAATCCCCGATCTTGATTCGTGCGATGCACTTTCCGGTAGGCGTCAGCAGCTCACTTCCGGCTCCTCTAATTTGCGGCCCCGTTCATTCCATTTTTACCTTCTTGAGTTTGTCGGCCAGATTCGCACTCATTATTGAAAAGTCCGCACCAGTGTCGACAAGTGCGGTCACGTCGTGACCGTCACTTGAAAGTGTAATGTCGGCGGTGACAATCTCGTCTTTCGTTGGTTCATTCGAAATGTGCGCCACTTCGTGTGGTGGTAATGGCGGATTTTCAAATCTTCGGCAATTCGCAACCTTCCCCCCCTAAGGTCGCTGCTTTTAGTTTCCCTGGCGAGGACTGGGAGATCTTCCTCTCGCCATGTCCGTAGTCTACTTCTATTACATTGAGAAAAATGACCTGGGGAGGGCGAGCGTGACCGGAACCCAGGAGAAACGTCCCGCGGGATCGTCGTGCTCGTTTCAACGTTGCATATTCCATCGAAATAGCGCCGAGGGGTAGTGGACAGAAATCCTTGATACCCGGCAACGCGATGAAAACAATACCGCACGATGTGGCCGGCTTCCCCACAATGGAAGCACAGGGGCCTGTAGTCAGGGGTACGCCATATGTCGGTTTTGCGGAGTGGGGGTCGCATCGGCGCCGACGTTTTTCCTGTAGTACCAAGACACCGTTGGCGGCTGTTGCTGGTGGTACTGCTGAGGTGGCGGCACGTTAGATCTAGGCTGTCGACGGAGAATATCTGCATATGTTGGCCTAACTATTACAGTGTTCGGCTCGGGAAGTGAAAGCGCTTGCCTTATTTCTTGGCGAACAATTTCTGTGACCCCGCAATTGCGCAGTCATTAGTTGTGGCGGCGAGCTTCTTCACCTCTTCTTGCACAATTTCGCGTATCAGGTCACGCAAAGAACGCTCGTCTGGTGTCACAGTGGTCACGGCGGTTGCGCTGATTTTTCCGCTGTAGTTGG